TCAGCCAGTCTGCTAAAACAGCCCGGGGGGACCTTTGCTGGGCTCTGCTGCAAGGTATCAGGTTGGATATTAAGGAAAATTTCTTCTCTGAGAGAGTGGCCAAGCACTGGCACAGGCTGCCCAGGGAGTGGTGGAGTCACCGTCCCTGGAGGTGTTCAAGAATGATGGGGATGTGGCACTGAGGGACGTGGTCAGTGCACACAGTGCAGATAGGCTGGGTTACGACTTGGGGTTCTTATGGGTCTTCTTCAACCTCAATGATTCTATTCTATTATTTCACTGATTATGGAGCTGAGGGATTAATTGAGCTAACTGCATCCAGATGGTAGGTTTCTTGGGGAAAAGGTCCCATCTTGCTTTTGCATGTGGTGTTGCACTTGGATGGATCCCTGGGTAGCAGGGCTGCAGGCTGGCCTGTGTTCTTATCTGCACAGCAGCTTCCGTGCCTACTTGGCAGGTGCAGGGCTTTGGTCCTGCTCAGGTACTGCTAAGTATCTGAGGCAGAGCCCTGATGGATGTACCTGTGCAGGGTAAAGAGAAGCAGCAGGCAGAGAAAGGAGAAAAGGTCAAAGCTGGAGGTCGCAGTGTTACTTTTCTTAGGTGTGATGATTCCAGAAGCCAGAACATAGAATATCCCAAGGAACACTTAAAGATCTCTTTCCTTTTGAAAGCTGTATTTGATTCTTCCCTCCCTACTCAATTCCCTGATGCTGAGAAGACACTTTTGTGCAGGGGAAGGAGTATTTGTTTGACCTCGCCATCTGTAAACTGAAAATTCAACATGTTTATTAAGAAAGAAGAAAAGAATCCATACCCACTGAACACACATCTTGTCCCAGACAAATGGCCGGAGGACAAACACTTCATCTCCCATTGATGAACAGGTTATGTTACTGCCTATAGCAAACCTGCCTAGGTGTAATTAACAAGTGCTTTTTCTGGCACTGGGCTTCATGTCTCCTGCCCTCCTGCCTCTGTTGTTCTTCCCTGTTGTTCTTGCCCTTGTTTTATTCTTTATTTTTTTTTCATTCTCTCCTTGCTATCTCAGTGCCCAGGCATGCCCTCTCACCCAACAGCCAACCATTTCCCACCTCTGTACAGAATTATTTATTTGTTTGCATTTTTGCCACACCACTAACCATTCTTCTCCTTTTTTTCTGTCATTTCATCAGCTTTCTCTTTTCTCCTGTTCTTTCACCTCGAATGGCAAGTTTATTTTTCTGAAATTTTTACAGACATCAGACGTATCTATACTGTGTATTTTGATAGGGAGTGAGAGATGTCATTCTGGAGTTGCAGTGGAGCTTCCACCACATATTAGGGCTCTTTAACACCTCAGAGTCCTCCGATATTGACCCAGGTTCCATTTGCTTTCTTGGGTCAGTTTTAATCACTGTTCTTTCTATTGGGTTTCTCCTGCAGCACCGAGGGCAGCCTGGCCCTGTTTGCTCTCATCTCTTAGCACTCATGTGATGCTGAGGTCTGGAGATGCAAGAATCCAGGGCAGAATATTGTGAACCACACTTACAATATACAGATGTCCTAATGATAATTTAGGGACTTTTAAAAACTTCCTCTACAACAATTTTTGAGGGGGATTCTTCCATACCAATCATGTCAGATATGAGGAGAATGATGTAGGAGCATTCTGGTGAGCCATGATAGAGTTATTTGTATTCTGTTCTGAAAATGAGATTCACAAATGTAAATCAATCTCACTGTAGGAGACATACAGAAATGCTTCTAGTCCTGACATGTGCAGAGAAGTGAGAGCTTTCTGATCAATCTTGCCTTCTAATAGTAACGAGCAGAAAAGATCCAAGCCATCCAAAGATTTGAGAGTTGGGATGCTCCCGTGTGGGCTGTGGCACTTGGTTGTGTGCCTGTACATACAGACTGCCACAGCTCAAATGACAAATGATTGCAGATAGCACAGTGTTTTGCTACCTGTATCGGAATTTGAACATTGTTAGCATTGTTTAAGCTCTTTTTAAGAAGTCCAGTCTGCATCATGTATCCTAAGGTTTGGTGCATTGTGCTTCTCACGTGGTTGTGCTTATTAAACTGATGCAAATCCCGTGCAAGTGGAAATATTCCTTTTGCTTGCATGTATAAAGAAAGCATGAGAGTAAATTAGTGTTAATACTGGATTATTTCATTAAAGCACACTTCACTATGTTCCAGTGGAAAGGAGCATTGCAGAAAAATGAAGGAAATGACTACAAGTGAGTTATTCTGCCTCTCATTATCATTCATAATTCGTCTTTGCTGTAATTTACATCCCTTCACAAAATAGCAACATATTAGCTAGAGCTTTTAATTAAAACCCCAACACCTGCAGGTGAGAAAACACAGATGGATTCGCTCCTCCATGGAAACACTCAGCTACATGTGAACTGGCCACAGAGCCAAGGAGAGAAGAGGTGTTAGAATAACACTGCTCCTCACAGTGACTCTATTCATTCCTACAGAAACAAACACACCTTGCCCATGGCTGAACCCCTCTGCCTCTCTCCCTGTTGTGCTGCCTCCACCTGAGAGGCTTGGTTCTCAAACCAACACTGAGGAAGCCCATTTGTGGTTTAGGTGTGTGTCCATATTGGATACCATAACATTTTGGCTTGCTAAAAATGACAACATTTATTTTCCTGTTCAATGCATTTTAATGTTTATGTCAAAGGGTGATGAATGTAAGGAAATATACATATGTACTCCATAAGAAAAAAGTGCAAACAGATCATTATTTCTGTTGTGCAAACGGGCACCTGAAAGTGAAGAATAATACATGACCAACACTGGCTACTGAATTTCACCAGCAGGTTTTACTGTGTAGTCTAACAAGATTTAGCTCAAGATTAGTCTGTTTCACATGCTGTGTTATGTGCCCCACACAGTGTAGTGCATTCTAAATATTAACATTTTCATCGTAGAAATGCAGAACAAATCAGCTGTGCTACCTGAAAGTTTCAGTTATCTCTTAAGCTGCCTGATAGAGATCCTCAAAATGCATCAGTGCTTTTGTATCACTGGTCTGAAGCTCAGAATGACGTTTGAAGAATGGAATAGAATGGAGTAGCTCCATTGGAAGTGACCTTCAAAGATCATCAAGTCCAACAGCCCAACCACTTCAGGGCTAACGAAAAGTTAAGGCTTATTAATGAGGGCATTAAGGGATTATATGCTTCGTACATCTCCAGGTGCTCTATAGAACACTTAGCAGGAATGGCTTGGGTTGTGATAAATAATTAGTTGAATTAATTAGGTGATTTCAAAACAGATGCCAAAGGCTTCAGGCCTACTCTACATAGATACACTCAACAGAAAAGATCTGTGTCAACATCCTTATTAAAAAACAGATATTCTTATTCAGCTGTAACAGTGTTTCACACTTGACAATTCTTTTCTCTGATTATTCCATTGTATCTGTGTGTTTGCAGCTGCTCTTGAAGTTCTCAGGGCTGAAAGGCTCTGAGTTCAAATGTGAAAATCCTGTCCCTCATTTAGCCCTTAGGAATTGTCCTTTTTCATTGGATTGCTCTACTTGTGGCTTACTGAGCACACAAAGGATTCAAAACATTTACAGTAATTTTAGAGGTCAGCTTTAACAACTGCTGTATGACAAAAGGCCAATGCAAAGTTGATTTGTAGCACCCTGAGAAAACAATGTTTCTGTTTCTATGTATATTTGTAACTTAGGTTTGAGTGATAACAGACATTTTACAATAATTTTTAATGTAAAATCATGAAAGAATGCAGTGCTTGCCATTCCTGCTTGTTGCAAAGGCTGAATGCATGGTGTTACACATGCTCTAAGGCTCATGAGGAGGAAGAGTTGGGCATGCTGGGCCTCCTGGGCCAGATGACTGAGCCAGGGCAAATGGATGGGCACAACCTAAGGCTGAGAAGTCTGACTGTCATCATTCCAGTGATGTGAAAAGCTGATCAAAAGGGAACGAATGGGGGCTTGGAGAAAGCAATATGTTATGGCATAGGTGTACAACCTTTTGGTTTGCTGGGGCTGTGCTGAGTGAAGGGGAATTGTCTTGGGCCAATATACAGACTATGATATTGTTAATGTATATAGCTAAAAAAAATTATATATATTTATTAAAACATCAAAAAGAGCAGCTAAAGCCCTAAAACCAGTGGGATATGTGGTGTCACTGTTGTGACACTAGCGCATCAGCCTGGTTCAGTGGCACTGGCTGCAGCTTTCAGTGAGCTCTCAAGGTGTTCAGCACAGATTTTGGATGAAATTTTACTCTTCCTGTGCTTCATCCTTGGTCACACATGTATGCAGTGCCAAAAGGGATGCTGTGGATAAGGTGTGATGGTGAAGTGAGGGGTATTTCTCTGGTAAAAGAGGGCTGATAAAAGTCTGGCACAGAGACGTGACCAGATTTTTGAACTGGATGTCAGACTGCCACTCTACACATTCCATTTAAAATCCACAGGCAATGTATTTATGTTGACTGTAAATGGAGTCACGATTATGCCAAAAAATGCTGCTTTTTTCAGCAATCTTGAAACTCATTCTCAAATTCCTTTCTCAAAACAGAAAGCACGGCTGTGTATATTTCACCATTTACAGGACCGTGTTCAGCCAATGTATCACCACACATCAAACAGCGACTGAGCCCGTCCTGCCCTGCGCCCACACAGTGCCCACTGCACACTGCTGTGTGGGTGCTGCAGGCGATGGCTGTGTGTCCAGGGCCAGGCTGGGCTCATGGACAAGAAGAGCTGCTGCCATGATGGCACAGAGCTGGGCTGCTGAGCAGGAAGAGCTGCCGCCATGATGGCATAGAGTGGGGAGCAGCTGCAAAGCACACGGGTCAGGCTTGCTCTTGTGGTAAATACCTACCCTTTTTACAAGAAAAGTTGAAATTTATATGACAGTGGAGTGCTGTGGTGTTTGGAGCTGGATGTGCAGCCTCAGATCTGCCCTGCTCTCACCCCACAGCTGACTGGAGCGTTCCTCAGGCTGCCTCCCAGCTGACAGGAGGGTCACCGCATGAAGGAAACTGAAAAATGATTTGCAAGTTTGCATTCCTTTGACCTGAAGTTTCAGTAAACATCTTGGTAAGATCAGACTTAACTTCTATTTTATTTGTAACAGTTTAATACTATTATTTGTTGGCTGTTTGAGATCTGAACAAACTGTACCTCCCACCTGGTTTTGTTGTCATGAAGCACGAAAGGTTTGCTGGGGTACGAAATCCTGTGCTGCTCTTGCAGTTCAGATGGAGAAATAACATCCGTGCGAACAAGAACACTGAAGCAATACTTTAAGCTTATGTGTAACAAGTAGAGAAACCCTGTGCTCTATGGGGCTGCTTGCATAGAATGTTTGGCCTCTGTAGTTCTTGAAGAGCTTTCTGGTGGCCTCTGTGTTTTTTTCTTAATTAATTAACATTAATGTTAATTAATATTAATTTTTCTTAATTCTGATCCCAGTTATAAATGCATTCTACTTAAATATGGCCTTTAGAATCATTCCTGGTCACTTCTTGCCCTGGCAGATAAGGGATAGGGCTTTGGTGTGAGCATTCTCTATCTAACTTATCTTCACACATAAAAGCAATACTTTTATTTAAAATGAAACTTTAAGATGACCAGGCAGAGGAATTTAGAAGTTTAGATGTGGAACAAAAATGAAAAGCAGCATGTATTGTATTTAAAATCTATTCTGTCAAATATACAGTATTTTTCTATTAGAGTTTGAATGTGATGATATTGGATGTCTTGCAAAGACCGTACAGGGATTTCTGAAATACAAGGAAATGGTCTGCAGTTCAGGTTAATTCAGCAGTTTTCTTCATCTCCACATGCTGCTTTAAAGTAAGGGTGCACCTACAGCCCAGCGATGGGAAGCAGAATATGGCATGCTTCAGGAGTCCTGCCTGGTGCCAGAGGAAATCCCATCAGGGCTGCAGCACATTCTGGAGTCCTGGTGGGTTTGCACTCCAGTTGGCAGCTGCTCTGGAGGTTGTTACTTCAACATTGTTATTGTTGCAAGCTAGAGAAACATCTAGCTGAACTGAAGCCTGCTTTTGTTTTGTAGTCCTTCCCTTAGGGTGGACTTGGGCCTCTGACAGCTCTTCTCCTTTATTTAGACTACTGGAGTGCCTGTATTGCTGAGGTCCTTCTGAGTTGCTAGGTCTGGCAGCCACGCTGAGCACATTCTGGCTCTTGATCTGGATGAAGCTGAGGCATGCACTAGTCCTTTTCTTTCTTCCTTGCCCTTTTCTCTGAAAGGAGAAGGTGGAGGTTAACAGGCCTGCTGACCTGCAGCTCTGTGCAGGAGCCCACCCTTGCTGAGCCCATCTCCAGGCAGCCTGCAGGTGCTCTGAACTAGCACAGCTCCCTCAAAGCTAATTTTGCTGACATCAGTTAATATTTCATGCTTCTTGCCATCGTCCCTCTCTGACCCCTCTAAGAATTACTATCTTTTGCTACTTATACCCAAATATACTCATTGTGTGCTAGTGACTGTACATGGAGATGATAGAAAAATGAACATTCTGGCCTGGAAAATGAAGTTACCAATGTAACCTTGTTTTGAATTTGCTTTTTCTCGCATCTGAGATTCAGCCACAATTAGGTAGCTGAAAATGTTGGTGTTTGAAAATGTCAGTGAGGCAGGTTGAGGAATTTCAGTGCAGAATGGTGAAATTAGATGTCAGTCCGTGCTGAAATTTGGCCTACTGGGGCTGGGAACTGACAAATTCAGTACATAGTTACAAAAAAGCCTCTCAAATAATAATGTTTTCCTAGCATTGAACTGTCATTTTATATTCTACCTAATTACAAAAAAAATCTGTAGGAAATGATTCCAGGAAAGGGTGAAAGTGTTCGATCTGTGCAAGGTGCTCTGAAGATGCGGTGTTTAGGAGTGAACTCTGTGGCCTGTTCAGTCTATTTAGCAAGCTCTGAGATGTGTAAGTACATTATCTGCAAGGCTGGTAAGGAGCGCTTAGGGAGGATTTGTGGGTCTGTAGGAAGGACAAAGAAAAATGTTTTCTAATAAATTATTCACAATCTCACAATCCCTTTTGGGCAGATTGTTGCTCTGTTTGCCCCAGTGCTTCATGTCTTTTCTCTCTGCATTCACACACACATAGTTTCTCACCTCCAGAGAGCAGCAGAGATCTCAAGCAGGCTGCTGCAGCTAATGGTGGCAATTAATAACTTGTCATAATCCTGAGGATGAAAGGGAGGGCTCACCATCAGCAGTCAGGTCATGGTGCTTCTGTAAAGCAAATGAGGTGCAGGTGTTGTCCAGATTTAAGAGCTTTGCTAGACTGTCAGCACACTGCAGTGCCAAGCCGCAGCAGAGCATCGCCCTACAGGTACATAACTTACTGTACTAGTTTTCATGCTCCAGGTGCACACACATTATACAGCAACCCTCCCACCCCCCGTTCATTAGTGCTGAAGAGAAATCCTCAGAATGTTTCAATAAATCATAACATGGCGCAGTTAATTCCAAACATGTAATTGCAGTTTGCCTATATATTTGCATACATGAGGCAGGCTAAGGAAGCTTTATTTTGCGTCTGTAAACAGAAATGTGTTTGGGAGTGGATGTGTTATCTTTTTCTTTTAATTGAATGCTGTAGATAAATAGCAGTTTGGCTACCTAATAGTGTTTTAGGTCCATGTGCTCTATTCAAGCTTGAGAAAATGAAACCTCATTATGCCTTTCGTTAAACAACAAACTACAAAGCCACTCATTGCTAGACAGCTCAGTTGGCTTTTCCTTTTTCCATTCCTGTGGGTCAGTTCTGCTTGAAATGAACCAAGTTTACAAATCTCTACCGGTTTGTACACTCCTATTATGCATACTAGGTTATGCATTTGTAACTGTCACACGAGTCAGGGTGATACAGCATTCTCATCTGACCCTATTCATTTAAATGGGTGCGTCTTGTTGACATTGATTCATGTTATAAGTTATATCAATGCATTATAATCCTTTTGTGTCACCCCACTGGTTATTTCTACTACAATGTTGTGAATAAATGCAGGCAGTGATGGTCACGAGGATTTGAAGCTGTTTTAAGGCATGCAGAGTCCATCTGAAGCCCTGGCTCAGAGCTTTACACTTTCTGTTCCTCTGAAAGACAATTAACATGCAAAGTATCCTATTCTTACACATCTGCATGGCAAAGCACCTACTGGCTTATTAATAATTTGGGCCTGTGCATTCCAAACGTACACTGCACTCAAGTAAAGGGATAAGTAAACACGATTATGCATGCATGTAGGTCTTTATCAAGGTGTGGCTGATAATGTTTTAAAGCAGAACTATTTCTCATGAAAATAGCTCCTCTTAATAGCCTCTGTCTCTTTATTGTGCTTCTTAGTGAAACATAAATCACTAATATGTTTTCAGCTGCAAACTACTCTCTTTTTCCATTGTATTCACAGATTTAGTGGCATTTCAAATAGATAAACACAAGCAACATCTATCAACACTACAAAAAGGGGGCCTTAATCAAAGCTCCAGGTCCCAGGTCTCAGCATCTCCATTTACCTTGAGATAAATCCATTGGTGTGACCACCACTGCACAGGGTGACAAATCACCCTAGTCAGCTGAGCAGTGCAAGGGCTTATTGGCCTTTCTTTAAGTGGTCTTACCCTTCAATGAAAAGGATGGTGCTTGTCAAGCAGGGCCAGATTAAAGTTAGACAAAAAGAAATGATCTGTTATTAGAAAACTCCGATTGAGAATCACAAAACAGGGAAGAAATATGAATAAGAATGTACAGTGAGGCCTCCCCCCCCACCTTTTCTCATCCTCCCCCAAGTAGAAATTAACTTTAATTACTTTCCTAGCTTAGCACATCACGAATGTCAAGACAGCGAGGCATTAGCATTAAATAAATATGTGGCTGCGGGAATATGCAGAACCAGAGGCTGTGTGTGGCAGGGCCGTGCTTGCCGATCGCTCCATGCCATCACCTGTCGGAGGGCAGCACTCTCTGTGCATGGGTGTCTGGAAATGAAGGGATTAGGGCTCAAAGGGAGGAGAGCAACAGATGCACAAGCAGCCCTAGCTGGCTTTGCCAAGCGCAATTTGGTGCCAGCAGCAGATAGGAAAGTGCTCGGTGCTTCCGGGCCAAAATCCTCACCTTGTTTATGGTGACACAACTGCAAAAGCAGCAAAATCTCCTACTGGATTTGGCCCTCAGTATTCTAGCTTGCAGAATTCCTAGAAAGAAACTTGGAAAAAAACCCCAAACTATATACAGGTAAGTTAAAGAATTATCTCGTTTAACAGTGGGCAAATCCTTTCCTCAAGGAGCACCCAAAGCCTCTGCAGAAGAGTGCATTTAACCTTTCATTCATCCTTTCATTTTTCCTTCTGAAGACAGTAGTTCAGGTTCAGGTTTGTTCATAGCACCCATGTTTATGGTTGGCTGGAAGTGAGTTTTTGTGGTTGTTGTTTCTGTTTTTGTCTTTTTGCCAACACTGAGCTTCATGCGTTTAAAATGCACTTGATTTCTTGTGACTTGATAAACCGCTATAGAAAGATTAATTTTCTGTAATCATTTGATTTGATACATGTCTACATAGGCTGGCATGAGTTTATTTTCCGTTTATCCAGATCCTGAAATCAGTTGCTAAGGGTACTCAAGGGAAACACTTCAGTAGTTATAAATAGGTCCTAACAACAGACATTTAAAACTGTAATAATGCAAAATGGTTATATTTCACATCAGAAGATAAAATGACGTTGGTAATGACACCATTCAGATCTTTTGATACTTAGTCCTGTGCATATATAGGCATGACATTTGTGGGTAAAAATTTCAATAGAAGGTGTGCTTCATTCTTTTACTTTTTTAAGGCATGGCAGTGACAGAGTGGAAATGAAGGGACCTGCACAAGCAGGAGCAAGTAGGAGAGTAAGGAAGGGTCAAAGTTTCCCTGCTAAGTGGAGAGAGAAACTGCTCTGCTCCAGTCCATGAAGTAATGGAAAACTAATTCTTGCGTTGGTACCCTAAGAGCTGTACGCAAAGCCCAGTGAAACCATGGGCACTGATAGTCTTGGGTCATGATTTCTTTACGGCAAG